GTAAAAATTATCATAAATACATTCATAGTATGGATAGGTGCAATGTTGAATTTTCAGCAATAAATATAACTTTTGGCTTGGCCATTTCAGATTATTTAAAAAATTTGTGTGTTGATTGATAATGATAAATATTCAGGGTTGGGAAAAAAGTTACAAATAGTCATTACATACGACTATGTAGGATGACATTTAATAACGCCTGGAAAAGTTTGTATGATGCCATCGTGCCGTTTGCTAAAAAATCTAAACTTGAAAGCATACTAAATTTTCCAGTTTTTAAAGAAAAAGAAATTGATTTTTTGCAATAATACATTAACATTTTAGCATCTATTGCCGAAGCATTATATAAGTTTCAAAAAGATGAAAATTGCTATTATGGTGATTTAGTACCAATATTATTTGTAACATAATTAATGTCACTTCAAACACCAGAGCTAAGCTATTGCTGAATTATTTTTAGATTCAATAAAGATGGGTTCGCATTTATTCTATTATAATTTTTTATTATAATATTATTATTCATTCATTTCATTATTTTTATATCCAATGACTAGGAAAAAATTTATGAAAAAATATTTAACATCGACTTCTTTCTACAATTTCCCATTCCATAAATTACGCTGGGGATTATCATCCTCTAATAAAAATACAGAACCTTTTGATGGCAATAGCAATTTTATTAGAGATAAAATCACCTGTGCTTATCTCTAAGCCTATCTGCCAGATGCAAGCGCATACACTTTTACAAAGAATTATACAAATAATTCAAATGTTATGTAGAGATTGAAATTTTTTATATCTTCATGAACCATGAAAACCGTATGAATATCCGATAATCAATGAAATTTTTATTCATTTTCTGAGTTGGTTTAAATGATGTCGAGATTAAAGTAATTTTTATATCTTCATGACATCATTTGCAATTAATAAGTGCTGTATAAATATCCGATAATCAAAGATATTTTCCTTGTAACTTATAATACATATTTATAATCCTCCGCTCCCGTCAAATTCCTTTTTTCTTTTGCAAATTTAATATTTCTATTTGGAAAATTGGTTATTTTATCAAATGCTTTAAACTTTATTTAATTGTTATATAAATTCGATAAAAAAATATAAATAAACAAGTGTGTATTTTATAGTTAAAAAATTAATGCTAAAAATATTTAGGTAATGAAAAGCTTTTGTAATCGTTAAATGTTCCGCATAAAGGTAACGGAACCGTTAACTTTTTTTAAGGTAACGAGAGTAACTTAACCGATATATTTTTTTTAAGTAACGGTAAACCATTATATTTGTAAAGTAATGTGCCCAACCCTGCCTACATTAACATAGAAAATTATATGGTTTTAATTTCCAACTCAGCCCAAGAGCTCGAGATCATAGGCCCTGCAAAATTTATGGAATTCTTGTTTTAAAATATAAATCTGTTTCCGGAAGTAACTGTGTAAATCGCCGGCTGATTTTACTTTAATTTTTGTATGCTTCGTCGCGAATACGCTCTAACTGTGAATGCAGAGTATATACAATTATCCCAATTGTTCAGGAGGAATCTATGAAAATAATTCCCCGGAAAAAAATCCCCGGGAAAAATTCCCCGGAAGATTACTCCCCGGAAAAAAATTCCCTAGAATAAAAATTTCCCGGAAAATAATTCCCAGGTAAATAATTCTCCGGAAAAAAAATCTCCGGAAAAAAATTCCCTGGAAAATAATTCCCCGGAAATAATTTCCTCGGAAAAAAATTCCCCATTTTTTAATTCCTATATAATATTAAATTATTTTTATAAAATTAACAATATAAGAAAAAATATCCCCAGAAAAAAAATCCCTAAAATATTTTTTGAGAAAATCGTCAAAAATTCTTGTAAAATTTTTCCAAATAAAAATTTTCAAAATAAAATAGTACGTGTGATTAATATTAAACCTAACAAAAACTTAAATTATTAATTAATACTAATAAATATAATGTATAATGTTATGGACTTATCCCGAACCCAGGTTTAGTGAAAATTAAACAAAGCAATATTTATAAAATAAACGAATTGGATACCTAGTCTCTCTGATATTATGCAAAATATTATGGCCAGCTCAGATTATTTATTTTGGCCCGGATTTATAAATTCAAAAATTACCTAGTCTCTGTAATATTAAGCTAAATATTATTATAAGTTAAGTAATGATAATGGCCAGCTCTGATTTTTTATTTTGGCCCGGCATAAATTCATATCATTTTTTGACCCGGATCTGCTCTGCACTATTTAATTTAATAGAAATGTTTTTTAAAGTCAAATTCCTTCGAGGATTTGAGGTTTTATATAATAAAACGAAAGTTAAATAAATCTAGTTCACCTTTACACATTTTCATCAACTTTTAGATGTTTATTGAAAATCTTTTACTTTTAACAAAAAATTATACACAAATTTTAATCATTTTTTTAGAAATATATTAAAAATTTAAATATCAGTTGGAGATAAGGGGCTTTTCACAATTTACTAACTCTTAAATAGGGTCCTTTTTTGTTTTTATAAAGATAAGTTACAAATAATATAATTATAAATTCTGTGGCGAAATAGGAAATTTTCAATTAAATCTGATCCCCTCTATTTGATAAAAATTATTTTACTGAAGTATTTACCTACTTTAAGAATTTAACTGACTGAATATAAAATCAATATAATACTTGCAAAATTATATTTTTTACTGCCCAATTTTAATTAAATACTGACAAAAGTATTGAAAAATGCTGACCATTTTAATCAAAATACATCCAGAGGTTTATCAGCAGTGAGTATTATATTTTTCGAATCTAGCAATTATTATTTTGCTTATGAATTTTTTTTAAAATTTACAGAAAAGAAATAATTATAATTTTATTAAATGATCTATGGAATAATAAATTATATTAATGAAACAATTCTAGAACGTATATGTTCTCCAATCGAAGAGAGAAAATTAGGCAAGTCCCTTCTCTCTAAAAAATCAATACATAAATTTTTTTTAAATATTTTGTTTCGTTGAATAACGACGATTTTTTTTGGGAGTGTATGTCCCAATACTCCATTGGCCGTTGCCCATGTCGACGGCTATTTCATCCCCTCTTCATGGTAAATATAATGTGGTTTAATTACCTGTTTTCATAATATCTATTCAAGTCTGGATGAAAAGTGGATTATAGAAATAACCTTTCTCTTTCTAGGGAAAAATTTGCTTTCACATTTTTCTTTTCAATTTTAAATTGTAAAACCTCTTTCATAATTTTCATATATTTCTATAAAAATCTATCGTCACAAATCTATACTTTTTATGCTATCTACTAAATTATAAAATATAAAAGCTACCAACCGATTTATCAATTCTCATTTAAATATTGCCCTTTTGGAATTAAAATAGAAATACTCTCAGCGTTCAGAAAATACTAATATAATTTTTTAGAAATATTTTCGTTATTTTAGCGGCGGGATTATTTTTTGATAATTTAAAAAAATATTCGGGGAATTTTTTCCGGGGATTAATTTTCCCCTATATTTAATTTAAAATCTAAAAAATGGGGAATTTATTTCCGGGAAATATTTTCCGGGAAATTATTTTCTATGGGAATTTTTTTCCAGGGGAATACTTTTCCGGGTAATTATTTTCCAAGGATTTGTTCTCCGGGGAATTATTTTCCGCTTACCGTTCAGGAGAGTGTTCCTAAAAATTTACCATTTTTTTGAAATGGCAGCATTTTTGAAATCACGTGACTAGATATTTGTAATTCTTATTGGTTTCACGGATATGTAACACCATAATACGATATTATTTTGCAAATTAAGGCATGGAAAAATATAATAATATGAATAAAAATAATTCTAGTTCATTTTTTTGTCACATTTTTAGTGTTTTAGGAGATAGTAATTAAAGAACTGATTTATCGGGGAAAAAATAATTTGGGGAAAAAGTAAACATAGACGACAATAATAATCAACCGATTATTTTAAAGAAGCATAATAGCTCTATCTTTTTCAAAAATTACTAAGAACGATAACCGGGCGACAGAAAAATCTATGGTTACACTTATTTTTCTTTAATTTTATTTAAAGATCTGATACATTAAAAAAAATAGGTTAAAAATTTGAGTTTGGAATTTAGATCATGCAAGGCACATCTGCCTGTCTGCAAGATTTCATCCTATCTTTTAATTATTATCAGATAAAGCTATAAATTTTGGCAGAATTATTCATAACTCTATATTTATATTGTGATTGTGACCAACAAGTATTAAATTTAAATTAGCGAAAAAATATATTTTTAAAAAAAATGAGGGAATAGAAATGTGGTTTTTTTCATTCATCGAATTTGGATTTTTGTTTAAATAATAAGTTTATCTTTCAAAAAATTCTAGAATTAATATATCAGTGTCATAATGATAAAATTATTTTAAAAATTTTGCAACCCTCTCACCATACACAAATATAAATCAATAATATAATGTTGAAACTTGTAAACTTAAAATTGATTCATTAATTCCTATTTCTAAAGCTATAAATTCGAAATTAAAAAGATATCACATTTTATCTAATGTAATCATATATAAGAAAATTCTTGGATTATAAAAAGATTTATAAAATTAGCATAATTTTTAAACCTTTCTTTACTAAAATATAATCTGGTCTAGAACCTCGCAAAATCAAATATTATATTCGATTCGTTGATGAATATTATTCGTATTTGTCTAATATGAAGAATATATTATTCGATTCGATTTATTAGAAAAGAATTTATTTTTTTTAAAAAACGATATTATAAAAAATGTCCGTGTTTCAAATTTTAACTTTCAATAGGAGACTTTCATGTTTATTCGAATTATTCTTATACGAAGAATTATTCAGTTTTTTGAGATCTAATATGCACGCATATTTATGATGACATCAAAAATTAAGGTTTAACAATTAATTCTAATAAGTAAAAATTTACTTCATTTAAATTATACTTTATTTCTATTGATATATATATATAACCTCATCGGTCTTTTGATTCATTTTCAAGTGAAGGTCCTGCAACTCTTTTCGCATCGCGTCGTCACTCGTCATTGCTACTTTAGATCCTCAATATAAGGTTGTGAAGAACACGCGGTAGAGGCAAATTAAAGAGGCTTATTTTTCGGATCCTGGATATTAGGGCCAATTAATCCAGAAATTGTATTTTGCAAAGCCACATTTTTCAAGATTAAATGATCTTAATAGTGGGGAGAGAGGGAGGAAGAGTGATAAAAATAATGTTTTATTATTTATAAATTATTCAAAATTATTTATAAATGGTGTTATTAAATATGTATTTAAACATTTATAGTTCATCACACAGGTAATGAAGCGTTGACTCAATTAATAAACTTAATTCTGAATCAAGTAGATGTTTTAAATGCAGAGTTTGAAACGCGGATTAAAACATCTACTTGATTCAGAATTAATAAACTTAATTCTGAATCAAGTAGATGTTTTAAATGCAGAGTTTGAAACGCGGACTAAGTAGATTTCTGGCTCTAATAACTTAAAAAAAGGCTCTAGGTTCTCGTTTTTTAGATTTGAGGAGGAATCATGTTCTACTTCCGGTTTAAGACTCCAATAATATTTTAACATATTAATAAATTCTCAGCACTTTTGCTACCGGGTCACTAGCGGATCCTAGAGTTCCACTTCCAAACTCTAGTGCCATTTTTTTAAGGAGCTAGAGTTAGCTCCTTTTTTGGGATGGAGCAAATGTGTGCCATTCCTCCGCTGCTTTAAGTTTTATTGTATAAATTGTTTAGAAAATAATCTAAATTAAATATATTTGCTGGATACAATTAAAAAAATTAATCTTTATTTGAATTTATGAAAATATATTTAATTATATAATATGTTGATCCGAGTTTTTATATTTTTTCGTTCTCGCCATATTTTAAATCAAATTATAAAACAAAAAACCATGAATGATTGGTTGTTGTATCGTTTTATAAATAAACACGGAAGCTATTTAAATGGATAAAATAAAATTTCTATTCTACAAGAAGTATTTTTCATTTATAAAATAGGTATAAAGCTTGAAAATAAAGTTCTGAAAATGGATAAAGATTTTCAATTTTGGATATCGATTACAAATTAACAGAGCAGAAAGTTATGACTTTCCATCACAACATTTACTCTGTGCCTGCCATATGAATTTAGTGGCCACAGTTGATGAGGAAGCTTAGAAAATATAAGGATTAAAATAATATCCAAAGCTTATTTCAAAGTGTCAGTCTTTATGGACTAAACAAAATTACTGACAATATAATTAAAAAATTGTGGAGATATTTGATATGTCCAAATATCACAAGATGAAATTTATATTATGAATTCACGGTATCCTTAAATAAAATATTAAAAACTAAAAGATCTTGATAAATGTGATAATATAGGACTTAGATGCTTTAACTTTCAGGAACATTAGAGAATATAGCCAAATTTTATTATAATCGTTAGCTTTAGAAATGAATAAATTTCAAGCAATAGAGCCTTTGGCAAAAACCTTAAAGATGAGGGGTTTTTAACTCCAACTATTTCTAGACTTCACAAAAATTTTCTAATAATAAATTATATATTTTTAAATAACTTTAGATTTTCAGTAGTTAATAATGATAGTATCATTGCTGCTATTATCCATTCTACATTCAAATTGAAAATTGGTAATAAATAAGCTGGGATAAAAATAGAGAATTAAAAAATTAATTAATTAATTTTATAAGAAAACAAATTCCTAACCAAAAAATGTCTTGAAATACACCCAATGATTTAGAATATTTTTTTGGATTCAATAGAATTTATTATCAGGATATTATACTAGACAAATATATTTTTAACAAACAATAACAATAAATATATTTGTTAATTCTAATGATTTTTTTAAAAATACATTTTTATAAAATACATCCCCTTTCCCTGTAAGTGCTCCCTATTGATGATTTGTTCAATATTGCTACTAAACAGATTTTAAGCGAAATGCTAGAATCAAATTTAAAAAATTTACTGCTTGTTAGAAGCAAATAAATGATTATAAATTTTTTGGATGCATCATTTTCTATGATTTAAAACATGTAATGGATAAAACAAATATTTTATTTTGTGTATCTTATCTCATAAAAATTATAATCAAGCGCCGGTGCTTGAAGCAGAAGCGCGCGCCTTTTAAAAAGGAGATTCGCAAATCTCTGTGGAAGTATTGAAAGGGTAACGCGTTACTTTAAAGTAACGAGTAAATGCTTTCATTTAAAGTATCGCGGAAAGGGTTTTTTAGTAACGTTCATGTTTATAAAATTTGGTAAAATAGACGTTGGGTTATTATTTGGCCATGGCAATTTCAAATGTTTTTTCATACCAAATGGAATTTCATTTCCAATTATAAAAAAATAATTTTTATCTCACTTCACTATAATTTAAAATATATTGATAAAAAATATTTAAATTATTATATATTTTTTAAGGAAAATCAATAATTGGTGTTTGGTTTTGTGTGTATACTATTTTTATAAATATAAAAAACTTAACAAATTAAATTGAAATAATCCTTATTATGATTAGGTAATTCAAATTGTATAAGATGAAAAATAAGTTCCAGAAGCCAACAAAAAGGCCAATAGGATTCGAAGAAAATCGAAATTTAGCATTTATTATAGTCGCGTTGATAATTGCGTTTTGTGAAAGAAAAAAAACGCCAAATTAAGAGCACTACTCAAAAGAAGTAATAATTTTCGATATTATTAATTAATTAGTAAAAAAAATTGAATTTTACATTTAGTATTAAATCATTTCAATTTCATATTAAATAATCAATCAAAACCAATTAAAACTAAAAGGGTGTTTTTATTGGATATAAAAAATACAAACTGTCAACCGAAAGTAGCAAAAACAGGTAGGGTACAATCGCGGTCTCCCATCCACCATTTGTGCGTCAAAATTCAGTTAATAAATGCTAAAATTATTGGCTGAACTTGGGTAGGGTGCAAATTACGAACATAAATATGAGTCCTTTATTTTTTTTAAAGATATATTTTAAGGTGAACAAGAGTGATTTCAACATAAAGACTTGCTGGCGGTTTATATTTATGTGAAAACCAGCTGATGTTTTCTGAGAAAATTATGTAAATGATTGTAATTTCATATATCATATTTTCGATAACATGCCTCAGATATGTCTAATTTATAGAAACTTTGCTAAATTATTTTATATTAACTAAGAAATCCCACACTAAATAGATAAGTCTAAAGATTCTTAGTTCTTTCACCACATAAAGAGAATAACTGAAAATATAACTTTTCCTTGTGTTGATATCGCATAAAAGCTTTTGGATATTTTTTTTCGTAATTAATTTTCATTTTCGTGGATCACAGAAAATAAAATGGAAATGTAACGACTATCGCAGGGTGCTCAGATAAGTATGTGACGTGTATAAAAATTTGTGCTAGAGCCAGAGAGAGTTTACAAAAACAGTAGGAGAAGATAGTGTCAAAATGCGTCCTGTCGTTCATTTGCAGGACGGGACGTATCCTAAGAATACCATACCTTGAAAAAAAAGCTTTCACATTTCCTTTAGAGTTTTTTTGGTCCAAAAATTTTGTAATATTCTTTGGTAAAGGGAGTGGGGTAAAAATATCAAATAAGGTTCAAGGGGAAATTGAAAAATGGTGGAGAGGGTGTGTAAAGTCGACCATTTTGCTAGACTTGCTTTTTGGGTCCAGCCCGACTCCGGCATTTAAAAAATTAGGTCCGAGTTAGTACAATTCCAATTTCTTAAAAAAAATAATATCCAAGATATGTCTGCCAAACTCGAATCTGTCGGTCAACGACTCTTTATTAATACGAGAAATAATAAAACTCGGCGCAAATTTGAAATCAAATCATTAGGTTAAAGCAGGTCCTAGTCAGTCAGATTCAATAAAAAAAAAGAGTCAACTACATTCAGATTTAAGTATAGAAAACTAAATAAATCTAGTTACTTAGTCGGCCCAATCGGTCGTATTAAAAAAAATTAGATCTAGGAGCGGTCCGAACCGGGTTTACTTGACCTTAATTAACCATTTCGGACGGGCCGAACCTGTTCATGAAGAGCTTGATAATAAAAATATTTTTTCAGCTTGATACAAATCAAAATTAAAGAAAAGGGAAACCGACTATAAATATTCTCTTTTAGAATAATCGATAACTAATATTTTATTTTATTTACATCACTTATTATCGTAATCGATAAAGTTTGACGTAGTTATTTATTTTGTAATACTTTTTTAAAACAAAAATCTATTAAAATATTTACGAATTCCGATTATAAAGTTTTTCTCAAAGGACCAGATACATATGAAAGGCTTAAAAAATATTGGCCGGGAAAGGTTTTTATATATCTTTGAAATTTTAAATATGCGATCCATGCGATGAAAATATATCATGTTATAGTCAATTCGCAGTATTGACTTGGCTGATTTAAATCTTAGTCCATAGCGTATTACCAATATATAAATTGAAAATTCCTTTCTTTCTTTCTTATTTCTTAAGAGAGAGAGAGAGCAATTTTAAGATTAAATTCTCAGAAATGATTAGGATGAGTAATATACACCTAAGGGAATATATTTTTGGCAAAATCGGATCATTAACATGTAAAATAATGATTGTGCTATATAATAATTTTAAATCATTTATTTTAGTTCTTTAAAAATTAATTCTTCCGAAAATGTATTTACAATTTTTGTGATATTACGCGACTTGAAGAAGGCAATCGGCATATTGACTGATCACGTGATTTGACTGCAATATATACATACTATTTATAAAATACCAGAGATGCCCCGATACCGAGGGAAAGTATCAACCCGATACCATCGATACTTTTTTTAAAAAAATCATAACTCCAAGCCCCGGGCCTAATAAATTGAATTTTTTTTTAAAAAAAAAATTGCCGTATCGATATAAGAATAATCGCCTCCGCCATATGCTAATACCGATTATTATAAGGCAAAACTCTGTAAAATATCAATAGTATAAATTAAAGTACCCTGCTAGGACCGGTCTTAGTGGTTCAGCCGATCCTTCAACTAAGTCTGTATGATTTTTAAAAAAAACAGGTCCGAACAACTCAATCAAATTTTTAATCAGCTATTTGAAAAAAAATACGTTTAAGCTCAACAAATTTTTAAAATTCAAGACAAAATAACATTTCAAAGTAGTGTCCAAAATAAAACAAATCAGAGATGATTTTTTTTTTAAAAAAGAACCAATGATCAGAGATACATCGAATAGGGTGTGAATTTAAATCAATTTTTTAAAACTATATGAAATAAAATAAATCTGAATTTTAAAAAAAATTTCTTTTACTAAACCTAATAATCAAAATTCGTAGCTTATAAAATCACTTAACATCTGACTAAAGATACCATTTGAGTATCATTTAAAATTAATTTAGCAGTTTAAAAAGTGGAAATTATTTAGTGGCCTATCGGGAGCTTAGTAATAATATTTAAAAAAACCAATTATATTTGATCTTATATTTGTAAAACTAAGATAAAACAATACTCATAAATATATAACTAGTATCTTTTTTAATGTAAATTCCAATAACAAATTTATATAAGATTCTATCATTAAAATAAAACGAAAAACTACTTTTTCTAGTCTAAGGCCATTTCCAAATAGAACGTTTTTTTAAAGCGGTTTTTGGGGCATGTTTCCAGTCCAGCAATGTTTTTATTTCCAAACAAATTATAATAATTTGTTGGATTAATTATTTTGTATAATATAATATTAAAAAATACATGTTAATTGGGAATTTCCATGACGTCATTTAATCGTTAATAAAAATCAAACTCCTCAAAAACCGCTTTGAAAATATTGTCTAAAAATGGTCTAAGTTTGTAATAAATTTAGATTACCCTAGGTCAAAAGAGGAAAACTTTCTACAGAAGCTTTTATACTGGAGTTGATCAAAGATTAGGAATATTATGTATTATCACCAATAAAAATTCTAGTTCAGTCAGAATTCCACATCATAAAGTAACTAGCCATTATTTGATGTTAAAGATAAAAATATTATTTGACTAAACGATTCTGATTAAGTTTTGTTAATTATTAATACCATATGTGCCAATTATTGTTAAACATAATCTAATATATTGGATGATTTATTTGCAATTCATCCAATGATCTTGTGATTGAATTAGCATCTCCAAAAGATCCTTTGAGGTAGATATATATAACTCTTTGGTAAATTATTTTGTAACATTTTTTTCGGTTTTATTTATAAATTTTTATGCATTGATAATTGTAAATATCCTTGGATACTATCTTATAGTATATTCTATCTAACCTATAATTCTTCTTAATCAAGCAGTAAAATATTTAATATTTGTTTCCTTACACTTTTAACCACTAAATTATTATGTAGATTTAATATATATGATAATGAGGAGCATATCGGAGTTAAAATACTAATATTATTCTTCATCTTAAACATTTTTTATGCATCCATAACTACACTTGTAATGTGCTTAAAATTATTTTTTTTATTTTATTTGAGACCATTTCAAATTGTAAATTTTATTTTCTTATATCTATACTCTTTAAATATAAAAATCACAAAAATAAAATGGTATAAAAATTTTATTCATAAATTCCTATGTTTTTTTAAATAATACAATTTTTGACTTTTTTATCAAAAATAAATGAATATACATCCTGGAATTTGTATTTTTTAAAAATCAAACTCAATGTAAAACAGACTAGGCTTTTTATTTTATAATTTATCAAGGGTAATGAACATTACTAACCAATATTGTGAGTATTGGAGCCTCTTTGATTAAAATTAAGAGGTTACATTTTTTTAATAAATCAGGTCTCAAAAATTTCAAATTTTTGTTTTTCTTATTTGGGTAAACAAAAAAATTATCACTAATTTGTCCAAGTCTTATCTAAAAATAACTGGTCTATGTAACAATTTTCTGTATATAACCTCAAAAATTTTATATGACCACAATATGTAGTCTATAGGGATATTGATAAAAGTTGAATTGAAAAAAAGAGAGTACACAAATTACTTTGTTGAAAATTATAATAGTCATAAAAAATTCCTCAAATTTATATTTAGGATTAGGTATATTTTTAAGCATTTATTACAAATCCACAAAAATTTTAAAACTATTAAACAAATCATTTGTTTTCTCTACTCTAATTTTAATTGAATTGCCATATTAGTTTAATTTGAAAAAATAAAATTTACATAATATGGACAAGAAATTGGTGCCAAAAAAATTTTTGGGCTACCAAACAGATTTGGATGGGCTAATTTTGAAAATGTTTTTAAAGCTGATGATCAAGCAAATTTATGGCATTTTCTTTCATAAAAGGTTATTACAGGTTGTGCCAGATAACTTGTTCAATATATAATTTGATATATTATATCTTTGATATCATTAATATTATTATTTTTATGGTAAATGGGTGTCAGCAACATTGGCTGATACCAGGTTATTAAAAACAGTGCCAGCTAAAAAAAGCACAATATAATGGGAATTATCTACTTCATAATATACAATAAACTTTTATATAAAAAAAGTCAGTTTTAATAATATAGATTTGTCAAATAGGTCAAAATTTATGGTCCCTAATGAGAATTTTTTTGCTCTTGAGTAATAATCTCAGAATTTTTTTTATGAGAGATTTTTTATTAAATTTTTCCTAAAAATGCCAAAATCCTTTAAAAATAATTTCAAACTCTGCAATAAAATATGGCTATTAAGAACACATAAAGAATAAAATCAGCATTTAAAGTCAAATATAACAATTCTAACATATTAGCAAATACATTTTAATAAATATATTAATTGGATAAAAATAAATGCAGATAATTATGTGTATATTAGGATGAATTATGTTGGAAGATAATTTATACTAATAATTTATTAATATATATATATAAATACTATAATATATAATATGTATTTCAAAGCTTACAATATTAAGAATAATTTAAATTATAAATTGCATAGGCATGCATAAAATTTTTATTGATTTGTTAAGTTAACAATTATAGATCCACTAAAAATATTTCCATAAACAATTCTAATATTTCGATTAAACCTCCTATTATCCTTCAATAGTTTAATAAAATTATAATTAGTCTGATAAATGAAACTGTACTATACAAAAAAGATAGACTTGGTTCAAAGAATAATAGTTTTAAAGTCTATTAGTTAAAATTAGAGTTCACGCAGAAAATAAGGATGCACATCACATATGCGTCTAATGAAAATAATACACAACTATTGCGGCATCTGTTAGAGCAGGAGCGTCGTATTTTAAAAGGAGGAAATAGATGAATCTACACCTGGGGTAGGAATAGATCTTCGACGGACGAATATGACCTGAAATAAAATACGTGCTACCTAAAAAGAGTTTTCATTTCTCTTTAAATCTATTGATAATTGTTAATTAACACATTTCTTTACACTTTGGTGGGGGTGTGGTAAGGGGCTATAGTTTTTATATATTAACAAAAAATATGATAATATATAAAATTAAATTTTTTGTAAATATGAATAAATCGTTATTATAAGTCGTTATTATATTATAATTTGAGAATAATGTGACAAATTTAATATACCGGTATCAGTATACATATTTAAATATAAATTTAAAAAAACCCATAAAGCTTTCATTTTTTTGGGCTACATTTTTTTGAAAAGATTTTATTCGCCCCTTGATGATTCCTTTTCCATATTTTGATATATGGATAATCCACTCCAACATTGAATTTAATGAACCTTAAATTTGACATCTCTCAAATTCGCTCGACTATCTATCATGTTCAAGTTCATAAGATGAAAACTCCTCTCACACTCGCTAGTATTTCAGAATATTTCACATAGATATGAAATTATTTAAATTCTTGATTAGAAGTATCTTTACCCATAAATTGTTAAAACCCAGCATTCGTTTCATATTCACTTAATTTGAATCTTTGGCAACTAATTTTTATTTACTTCTCGCCAAATCAGACATCTAGTTCTAAGGCCAATTTTCCTTTTGAAAAAAGAATATATCTCAAAAAATTTATAATGAAGAAAAAAAATTATAAAAATTTATCCTTTTATCTTCGTTTTCAATGCTATATATTACATGAGACATCATGATTATTTATAAGTAAATTATATTGATCGATTTTTAAATTTACTAGTTTTGGATTGATTTTTTATTAATGGTATATTTAAAAAATAAAAGTTTAATTTCTGAACCTAACCACAATATGTAGATATTCACCTATATTATATTAAAATATAATTTTCAACAAGTTCAGAATTGTTATATTTAATATACAAAATTATATTAAAAACGATGGTATAAAATTTTAGTGTTTGGAGGAGAGGGGGAAATGGCTCAACCACCCCTCCCCTTCCAAAATTTGGAAAACGCGATAAAAAATAAAATTAACAAGGGGTGGCTTAGCCCCTTAGCCCCCTCCCTTCAGCCTGCAATGCATCCCTCGTTGTACTATTAAATGTAAGGTTGATAGGTAATTTTTTTTATCAATAACCATCTTTGATATGATTAATTCGTAGCATAATTTTCATACACCTATAAGATGGATTAAGATAAAATAATTTTAAAGGTATGAGGTTACTTCCTGTTTATACTTAATTTTGATACTTAATGCTGTTCAGCCTAGGATAAATAACCTTTGAACTAGGACACTTTATTTTGATTTGTTTTATCGCCAAACGTTTAGTAGTAAGTCAAACCAGGACACGGTCTGATCAATTTATTGTATCAAACAAGGTATCTAAGTACAAATATTTTATTTTTATATCCTAATTAACAAATCCCAAACTTTCTTATTTATTTTTAGATACTATATTTTTTCTTCAAATTTCCAAATCTCCCCTTCTGTTTATAAAATTTCAACGCTTTTTTTACAAATTTAACCTCCACCTCTTTCATCCCTTTTAGATTTTCAACTTTCAAGAGTGTTTTATCAGATTCAAACTTTTATTTTTTATTTTACTATTAGGTTTTATAACTTCTTAAAAAAATGATTTTATTTATGGTATGTCCAAAATCATTTTAAAAGTATTCAAAAAGTTTCAAAACAGCAAATCATAAACTTATAATGAAATCGTATGTTAAATTTTTTTTTTTATAATTATAATTTTTGGCATAATTTTTCATATTCAAGATAGCTCATTTATTTATTTTTATTATAGTTCCAAAAGTTTGCGAATTTATTTTTTTTGATGTCTTTAACAGTGTTAAACTCCATTTCCTTTATTACTTTTTTCTTAATTTCCCATTATTATTTTTAATTATTCCTTCCTAAATTTCTTATTCCTATTTTTGGTAAACAATTTAGACCCCAACCTTTTTAATACTGTTAATTTAATTATTCTGTTTCATACACATACTCCTGTATCTTGTTATTAAATTCTACTTTTGATTTCATTATTCCCTTAGTTTTTTTAAAAAAAAAATTTCCATGTTTAGCATAAATTTATTTTAAGTCTTATAAATTTTTATTTCATGAATTCTCTTTTTTCTTTAATACATCTATCCGATTATATTCTATTAGTTTGCTTTTATTTCAATAACTCATTATCTAATTAAATTCCAAGTATCTTAAAATTATCTTACTCATTTTGGATTCAGACTTGAGCAAATTTATATACAAATACACTTCAAAAAAAAGTATTTGAATATAAATACACTTCAAAAAAAAGTATTTGAATATAAATACATATACATTTTAAAAAAAATATAATAAAATATAAATACTTAATACTTAATACTAAACTAAATACCTATAAAAAAATATAAAAAAAATATATAAATACAAATTGGCAAATACTTTTTGCACAAATAAATACTTTGATGAATACTTTTTGCAAATCGATTTATATAATACACACTATGAAATTTTTTTTTTACTTAAATAATATTTTTATTATTAACCATTTTTTAAAAAAATTGTAATAATTATATGAATATCATTATATCGAAAGTTCCAATTATTTATATACAGTCATACAGTCATTATAAATTATAATATTTATTGTAGTAGAATTAGATATCTGCAATGTTCGGCAAGGTTGAAACGGGTTGGGTATGTTTATTGCTTTATTAAGAAGATCATGAAACTTAAATCCTCATCATTAACGAGTTTTTTTTATAGGATATTTTACTGAATTTTAAAAACTGAGTCAGGTCAGGCAACCTTATTAAAAATTGGAATCCGACCGGGTTTTATTTTAGCCGGGGCTGGCTAAAACTAAATCTCAACTAAGAAGGACCTAAAATATTTTTATTTGCAAAACTTCTAAGCCGTATATCACGTAAGTTATGTAATTATTGCAAATAACTTTAAAATGTATCCTTTTATGAAGTATTATAAAGCACAAACTGTTAAACAGCCCGATTTCTTCATTAAGATTTTCGCCAAAATATTATTATGTAACACGAGATTTGGTAAATACAAGTCTAAACTTCTCTACCATCTATGAGCAAAATTTATAGGCTTACATAATATTTTTTTGGTGAAAATATTAATTGCTCATTTTTTACAAATCCAGCTGTTTAACGAACACTAACGTCCAGCATACATATGACAGGATTTTCACATCCTCTTCATAAACATATGCCTAACCCTATAAAAATATTTCCCGCAATTCCTAAATTATTAATCACACCTTTTTAATTATAATGATATTCCTTTCATAAATTTTTAAAAATAACTTCAATTATTTTAGCTCTACTACTAACTATCAAAATATTATGAATATAAAAGAATTATTTTTTAGATCATGAATTTAATTAAAACCCACCTCATTTACAATGAATGCATTATTATAGTACATTGTTTGAATATGATTTAGAATGTCTACCCCTTTAAATTACATTTAAAAGGATGGGAAAGTTTTATTTGGAAAATAATGTCATTGATTGTGCAATATATAAATATTGTCGATGCTTAGCAATATCATTGTATCATACTAGATCTATAATAAATAGCAATATATTTTGCATTATTTCATTTAAAATTTAAAAGATAAGCCCCCAAAATATTTATCCAGCCCCCATTAAAACCGCCTACCCTCTACTCCCCTTAACATAGGCGTAGCCGGGGGGGGGGGGGAAGCAAGGGGAAATTCTCCCCTTCAGAAATTTATCACTTTTTGTGAATATCATTTTAAGCTAATAAAAAATATCCCCCTTAGTCCTCTCCCCACTCCCTGACCCTCCAAAATGTATGCATATATCCAAAGTTGTTAAAGTAGCGCAAAAAATTAGCGATCTTACTTTTTTGGTAGCTATAGCTAATAGTGGCTACTTTTTTGTAATTATTTAATTTTTTAGCGCGCTACTTTTTTTGAAAGTAGCTAAGCAGCCGCTACTTCGCTACTTTTAAAAAATATAATGAAGGTAAGTGTAAACTATTAATTATAATTTTTATGCTTTATTATTTAATTTTGAAATTAAAATATAATTTAATTTTTAATTTATATATACATTTTTTTATAAACCTAAATCACGTGTTAATGATTTAAAATGTCATCGCCTATGGATATCCAAATCGTTAAAAGTGATTCAGACAATGATATAAATGGAATGGAAGATATCAGGGAAGAAAATTTTCTTAATAGCTATAATACAAATTTCCCATTCCCTAGATTTGAAAATTTTATTAAATAAATAAATAACCAAAAGTGGTTTCAAATTTATTTGTTTAAAATGTAAAAAACAATATTTCCTCAAATCTATCCAGTAGCTATAACCTCAAGAAACACCTAAAGGTAAATTGTCATTTTTACATTATAATAATATTTATTTTATAAGACTGTTCATGAGTTTTAAAGAAATGGTGAAACATCTAAATAATTTTGGTATAGGCGACTCTACATCCAAAAAGACTAATTCAATTCAAACCAAATTAATTAATAATGCAAATAACAATATTTCTCAGAAATTGGCTGATAAAGTTATTGTTGATTTTATAATTTATACAGTTCAGCCAATGTCCTTATTTGATAATCCATCATTTACCATGATGATTAAAACTCTATCCACTGGTACAACAATTTTATACCGCCAGACACTAATGAATAAAATAGCAGATAACTTTAAAATGATGAAAGATGCTCTAATAGTAGAGTTATCAGAGATACCATATTTATGTACCACGGGAAATAGTTGAACACATAACTGAAGGTAAAAACTTATTTATATTTATAAATTGATCTGATTAAATATTTTTGAGCTTATGGAATCACAGGCCATTGGCTAGATCCTAGAACTTTAAAAAGTCTGTGGCATTAGCCCTCAAAATGATAATATAGGATGCCAGACATACAATGTACTTGCAAATAAAATAATTGATAATCTACCTTATATTAAAAATATGTATATAAGATTAAATACGCCCTTACCCTCAAGTGCTAGTGTCGAGAGATTATTTATTAAGGCAATACTTAAACTTTCTGATCGTCGCTATAGACTTGGGGATGATAATATTGAAATGATTTTATTATTAAAATGCAACTAATTACCATAAATATTTATTTTTATTACGTAAATTTTTTTATAATCAAAACTAACTATATTTTAATATTTATAAATGTTGATTTTTATATATTTACTATACAATACCATTATAAGCAAAAAATAAATAAAAAATTTGTTTGAAAATTTTTTTTATATAAAGTATCTTAAAAAGTAGCTAAAGCTACTTTTAAAAAATGGTAGCTAATAGCGAGCTACTTTTTTTGACAAATAGCGTTAGCGTGCTACTTTTTTTAACATAGCGATAGCGGTAGCGCGCTACTTTTTAAAGTAGCGTTTAATAACTCTGCATATATCTTAAACAATAATTTGAAAGAAAGAATGTAAAATTTACAGTATATATAATTTTATTAATTATCACATGACAATCAAGTAATTTTTACTAATATAGCGAATTATATATTTTACAGAAAACTATAAAATATTGATAAGGACATCAGAAAATATCTTTTAAGGACTATGTAGGTGATTAATATGAATATTAATTTTAAAAAAATAGATGGCGTTAAATAATTAAATGAAAATTGTTGTTATATTTATTATCAAGAGCATTTATTAGTAAAATTTGTTAAAATATTAACTGTAATATAGTATCTAACTGTCAAATATGTCTGTAAAAGTCAAATATGTCCGTAAAAGTAGAATTTTACCTAGTAATATATTAATTCTATATAATAGTAATATCAACTATATATCTACTTACTTTTTATAAATAAATTTCTTATACTTGTTTGGAATAAATTATTACCATGCTTTTATATTAATGTATATACAAGTTATTTATTATATTTTATATAAACTAATAAAAATATATTTCATATTTGTTCCAGGCTTATTTATTTTATTAAAATTAACTTCCTATCTTGTAAAAATATTTTATGACTATATATAGACTAAAGTGACCAGGCCAAAGGCTGGGCAAAAGCGAGCCGAAGGCCCGCCTAAAATGGGGTCTGGGGGCAAAGCCCCCATCTATTTTGTAATCCCACCCCCTTAGAAAAATCTTGGCTACGCCTATGCTCCTTAAATGATTTGGATGCAAACTGATCCTTCACGCCCCAACCTGCTCATATAGACTTTGCTATGTATCTCACAATTTTATAATAATTAAAATGTTATTATTATTTCCATTTTTATTTGTATCTATTTCAAGATCATGATAATGATTATAATAAATTATTTATCTAAATCCATATGTGTTTAAAATTATTTAACGAGTCAAATTTCTGGCATGAAAGTAGTAAGAAATAATATTTAGACATTATTTTGAATAGATAAAATTTGATTTTTTTTTATAGGTAAAGATAAACGAGGCCATTTAGTACCTGATAAGATTAGCAAAATGATAAAAGTAATAGAGTGTATTGAGGAAATGTGAGAAAATATAAATTGTTTTTATATATTTGTAATGTAATAATTAATAGTAATATTAATTGTGTCCAATATATATTTATTTAAGTGCATTATTAGTAGAAATATTATTTAACTCTTAAGTTATAAAAGTTTGAATTTTTAAATGATATAGGGGTCTAATTTCACGAATTACTTCTATTATCTATTCCTACTATTGCTATATGAAATATTTATTACAAATAAATAAAAATGGTTAATTTGTTTTTGGGTCAGTTGTTAAAAAAATTAAAAATAGTTAAAAGTTAAAGCGCCATATATCCAAAAGGATATATTACACATTTATAACATGCCTAAAGATTCTAATAAATATAAACCAAATTCATTTAGATCTCACAATATAAAGCCTTATAACTATTCTTCACAAGTAATTTGTTTTATTACATGTATTATATAATTATATATAAATTATTTTTTAATTTAAAAAAAAAGACAATAGTATCATCTGTTAAAGACAAGATTTATTCATATATTCCCAATTGGTTTAGAACTAATTTACCAGAAGATATTAATCTTATGCATGAAAAACAATTTATAAAAGATAGTGATATACAAAGTTTATTGAGTGAAGAAGATGAAAATTATAATATTGAAGATGAAGCAGAATTTTTAAATATTAAAATTCAAAGAAAGAACCAAAATAAACCTAATGGCATTATTAATAATATCTATCAAAACCATTCACCCTTAAAGAACATTAAAAATTTAGAAGACTCTTTTTCAGATTATAAAGATGCAAATGAAAGTCACAACTTTTCCCCAAAATATTTAGATAATACAAACTCAAATAATTTGGATAATAAAATAGAAATTGCAAAATTTAACAAAATTCAAATGAAAAAAAGTGAAAATATTAGTTATTCTAGAAAATCTAAAATAAAATCTTTGAAAATAGAAAAAGCTTTAGTTTCAAAATATTCTGAAAATGACACAGATAGCTCAGAAGAAATGGATGATCATGGAGAATCAAAAAAACATAGTCAAAATAGTCTTAAGCTAGATACAGACAAATCGCAATGTGCAAATTTATTTTCAAATAATCATTTGTCAATTTTTAATAAAAGTAAATTATTTTATAACTATCAACTTTCTATGTTAATTTATTATTCTAAGATAACTGTACACAAACTTAATTTTAGAAATTAAAAAACTATCTTATAATTAAAAATATAATATTAATCTATATTAACAGTTAATAGCATAGACATACCCAGAATTTTGCTAAGGGAGAGGCACTATTAGGTGGGTATTTCTTCCTTAAATTTTAATGTTGCACTTATTTCAGGCATGGCTATATTATATTTTTATAAAATAGTTCTGAGTTTTCACTTATTTTTTATAAAAGGGGATTTTGACTAGCAATACTTACAAGATCAGATAAATTTATGATGAACCCCTCCCCCCCCCCACCCCTTGCCTGACAGCCATGATTAGTGCTGTGCCAATTACCAAAAAATTGATCCAATATTTATATTGATATTTTTTAATACACATCTTTTAATTAATTTAATAAAGTATCAATATTTTATTCTTTAAAAAAACCAATTAATTTTCTTGAATGATTAACTGAATTATCTTTTTAAAATTTCATGAATATTTGCAATGTATATGTGTGATTGTAGTTTTGTTAAACACTCCTATTTAGCTGATTATTTAAAAAGAGCTAAATCAAAATTTTAACTAAAATATTATTACAAAATCATAAACTTGCCAGTAGAAATCCAAGCCTTTGTGCCATCAAAAAAAGTCTTGAGTTAACTATTTTTAAAAATTTTCTAAATTCAGCCAGCAACACTAGCGGAATGTGAGTCATTAGATATTTTAAAATCCTTCTCTTGTTGCAGATATAACAAAAATTAGTGTTTTAACTATTTTTTTAAAAATTACAACAAATAAATTGTATTTTTGTTCCTTTCATTTATTTTTTTATTATGAAATTATTTATAAATTAAAAAAAAATTATATATATAATCATAAAATAACCCAAAACATTAAATAGGATTAGTTTTTAAAAAAGATCAACCTGATCCAATATTTATGAAAATGTTAAATATCTGTGCTGATACAATCTAATATTTAATATGGCACAACCCTAGTTATGATATACATATTAATTTTTAATATTTTAATTAATCATGTTTTTTAAGGCAATGTGTTATTTTCAACCTTAAATCATTTTTTGAGTCATTTTTTTAAATTTAAAGATCCGATTTTACCAGAAATGTGGTAGCATTTTTAGAAAACTTATCCAATAATTTTTAGTATATTTTACCTTGAACTTTTGATTTAATATAATTTATTTTTTTCTATAAACATGCTGGAATACATTTCCATTGAAATCTGGTTTTTAAATTTAAAAATAACACGATTAAAGTTGAAAATAACACATAGATATCACAATTTTGTCACTTTTTTAATACATATTTACTACTCTATATTCAGATAATTCAGAATTGTTCACAAACAAATTCAAAGATAAAGATCTATCATCTACAATTCTTTTAAACAGCACTTCAAACTTGATTAATGTAATTTAAAAAAAAGATTTAACATAAGTTAATTTACATTTTTTTAAATTAGCCACAAAATTTGAATCAACCAAGTGGTTCATTAACAATATACAATCAGAATAGAACAAGTTATGGAGGACCTTCCTCATTATATCGTAAGCAAAGGCTGTCTGTTCATACACCTTACCAGGTAAAGAACTTTATTCTTATTTATTTAAAAAAATCTGTATTCTAGATATCAAATTATAAAAAGCCAAATGCTAAACAATTTTTACCCACAGGAGGATTAAGTGATACTGCCCAAAAAATAATGAGCATGTTAGGACAAATAGCTGATCAAAATAATATTGTAATATATTATTTTTTAAATTATGAAGAAATAAAATTTAAAAAAATATAAATAACATTCTTATTCAATTAATAGTTATGAATGATTACATAAAAAAATAATGATATTATTATTTAACTTTATAGAATTTAGAACCTAGTACAAGTTTTAACACAAATTCTTCAGAAATCCCTATCACATTATCTGAAATTGACAATAAATCCCATTCATATTTGCCCAGTCAATATCTGCAATCAAATTTATCCATCGATAAACAAAAAATAATACAAACTCCCTATACCAATTCACCCCTATTTTTCAAGGTATTTTTTTCTACGGAGTTTGTTTTATATCAAAGTTTTATTTTTTTTAACTTTTAAATGATTATTTTTTTGTGATTTTTTTAAACTAAATCATCCTTTTTTCTAATTAATCTTATTACATTTTTTTTCATAAATATAACTTTACTTCCCCAGGCTATTAAATCACAAATTATTATTTTGTGCATTTTTTCTATAATTCTTTTATTTTAGGATTTTGTTTATGGGTGGTTTCCATGTCAAATTTAGCGATTTTACAAACGTTTTTTTAAAATTATTTAAACTTGTGTTGGTTGTATATGCTCTTAAAATTTATGAATTAAATTGATACGGGCTTTATAAGTTCAATATAGGTGCGATTTAGGTTTTAAGAATCTCAAATTACTCGATGAATATTTGGTCAAAATATAGGAATTATATATCCCTTTGCAGCCATTAAAGTTCACTTTAAAAAAATATAAAAATATTTTTTAAAATTATTCACAATTTATAAGTGTACATATCTTTTGGTAAAAGTTAATTGGATATAAAAAAACATTATTGGATTTTGAGAACCTCATAATTCAGGATCCATTTGAGCTAAAACTTTTAAAAATTATTTAGCTTGAACTCTATATAACCATGATGCTAAACTTAATTCGTTTTAAGGTATGGTGGCTAAAGAATTTCTTTTTGTGTGGGGATTTGTCATGACTTTCAATACTATTGTAAAGTTTATTTTTAAAAAAAATTAAAAACAAATTTATAAGACCATTGGTAATGATTTTTTCTAAAGAAATTTAACTAAATCCCTATTTTTTTAACCAAATTATTTCTTTTGTAAAAATAAATTGTTCAGCCATCAAAATCTAGCTTTATTAAGATGAACACAGCTGAAACTTCTCGAATTTCTAATATTAGTTCTACCCTGGCGGAAAGATCGAATTCCAATAAACTAGAAAACAGCCAATTTTTAGAAAAAACGATCAGATTAAAAGTATGCGTTTATATAATATCGTCCTTTATTATTATCCCTAGGGGTGTACCGATACCACTTTTTGAAGGCCGATCCGAAACATTCATCTATTTACATAATTAGTAATAAAAAAATATATTATGAAATTTGAAATTAATATTTAAAATTAATATATCGAAGATTTCTTTTTATATCAGAGATATGTCGGCGGTGATGGGGACTGTTAATATCACTAGCATCACTAAAAACAGATACTGAAGAGATTAATGAACACTTTTTTAAACAGAATGCGAAAAAAAATAACTATATTGCAGAATGTTTATTAACTAATTATTTCTATTAAAAAAATTAAACATAAAAATGTATTTCGATTTTATTTATAAAAATAAATGGTTTTTTAGATATAACTTTTTTTAAATTTTGTTAAAAGCGCCATTTTATATCGGATCGGAAAATTTTATAATATTTGCCGATAACCGATATTTTAAAATGAGCTAAATATCTGCCCGATCCGATATAAAATATCGGTACATCCCTAATTATCCCATAACGGCACAGTTTATTTTACATGAGCAAGACATAGATTTAAAAAAATGGGGAAGGGCTCCTAAGGATTTTACTACAATTTTTGGCAGAGCTGTAGTTATAAAGTTATTACCTTAGTATATTATTTATCACTTGACTATTCAACGTTTGAATAAGTACCTTTATAAATATTCAAATTTAATAATACAAGCTATTTTTACGTGATATTTTTATAGCTAAATATTGCATTAATTATATATAAAACAATGATAAATACTTTTTAATTATTCTTGTTATAATCATAGTAATAATTTGAATTCATGCATACAAATAAACTTTAATGACAATTTTTTTCTTCTTTGTGATTTATAACCTCCGTTTTAATGAGAGGGATTTGATAATTTTGCTGATTAATATTTAATTTTTATTTTTTTATTCATTATAATATCATTGTTCAATACAATTGTATTTTATACATAATATGTTCTTTTTTAAACCATACAAAATGTGAACAAAAAACATAGGATTAATATTTTTAATGAATAAAAATTATCTACCTGATTTTATTTAATATATATATATATATATATATTGTAATAGTCAAGATTGGGTCCACCAATCACGAATTTAAATCTCGGAAAATCGCCTTATTCATTCATCAATCGACACTTAACTGCATCTCCTTATCAAGTTTTAACATTTTTTTTATTGCTAACAATTTTTAATTTTTTTAAAAAATAAAAATTTATAGAAAAAGGGCGATCATTCATCCATATCTTTCCTGAAATCTGAAAGGTTCGTAAATTTATGTTTTGTTTTATATTTAAAGTTATACTGCATCCAGTTTTTACCTGATACTGGTAAAAACGTGTAAGAACTATAGTTGGGTAATTACTATATTTTTAGTCGAAGATTATCACTATGGCCTAGGGTTTTAAAAAGATAGCTCAAACTTGGAAGAAACAGATAAAAATTAAAACGCCTTAATGTTAACGGATTTTCTCCGACAGGCGCCTGAAGATTGAGCTGTATTAGCCGACATTTAACCATTATCCAACTATAGTAAGAACCGGATATTTGAATAAAACCGGCCGGGTAATAGGGAAGATTCGGACTCTGTCCGGTACATCTAGTATATATATTCGATTAATATTATTTATTGCTTCGCCAGGTAGTGGCAGAAGAGCGCGAAAAGTTTAATCTTAAGCGTGTATTTTCTATATAAAACAAAATGTTTCTCTTTAGCCACACCAAAACTATCTCTGTAGGGTTAACATACCAAAACATTTATTTTTCTGAATTTCAAGAACAAAACAAATATTTTAATTCTAACAATTACTTTAATTAAATTGTTAGAATTATGAAATTATTTTATGATCGTATATTTTATTTCTTCTTGCTCTTTTATTTCGATTTCTAAGTCCTCTGGTTAGCAAGAAAGAAGTTTTAAACATACTCTTAATTATCTTCTACAATATCCTATTTAGGCTGCATTCAAAACTTGTTTCTAAACTTAACAAATTTTAAAAGCTTAAGCAAAACCTATTTTAAGTTTTGAAACATTTTTTTTTAAAAAAGAAGTTTTGATCACCTTTTTAATTTTCTTATTTAAAAAGGCTTAATTTTCGATAAAGTTTTGAATTATATTTTTTTGTACTTTTGTGTGCAGCCTTAGGTAAGTAAATTGATCAGACTACACTTATCGTTTAAAATTGAGTTATGCAAATTAATTTCATTTCACTGCACTTTGGTCTTGTTTGAGTTGTCATCCACACATTTATGATTCAAATACTCAAAGATCTTTAAAATGTTAAAATCTATAATTATTTTAATGATAAAATAATCTTTTGATTATTTTTTATAGCTAATATTGCACATATTTCAGTCTTAGTATTAATACTGAAGTTTATATCCCAGCCCTTCATTTCAAGCAAACATTTATTTTCGCCATATTATTCAAAGGTTTTTTTATAGGGTTGGGTTAATGATACTAGTAGTGAGATCTGTGGGTGCGACCTTTTTTAGCTAGCTTTTAAATCTACATTACATTTTTTTTTAAAATTAATATTATCAATTACAGTCATCTTCAAGATTTCAAGAAACTTTTCAAGAATGAATATCCCGTCCCTACCAACATAGACCTTAATAAACAAGAATTAACGGGGAGGACACCTCAAACTGGTGATATGGCTCCAATCGTTAAAATAGATGTCACTGAGATGGATAATTTGCCTAATTTCACATTTTTAATGCCTACCACGCCAAAAATCTTTATAGGCAAAAAACGCGAAGATTTGATTCAAAAGGTCAGTTTAACATTCAAAATCAATAATTTATATAGGTTTCTTAAAAAAGTAATATTTTAAGGTTTAATGTTGTGGAAATTTTTATCAAGTTTTTTGGCATAGTGTGTTAAATATATTTTCTATAAAATATTTTAAACCATTTGTCCAACCTATCCCTATCCCAAAAATCTGGGCTGAGCTCCAGGCTGTCTCAACCTCTAATAAGTATACTGTTATTAAATGCTACTTTTATTTATTACTGAAAATTATTGTTATTATATAACTGAAATTTTAGATAAACCCCGTTTAAAATACCATTCTATAAATAATCAAAATCGTCTTATTTTAATTTTTTTTATTGCATCCAAATCAACTAATTAAGATTTTCTATATATATATTATTTACGAAATCAAGTCCCATATCAGTGACTCTCTACATAAACATTCTAAGCATAAACCATATACCAAGCCTCACGTCAACCATGGTAAAGACCATGAATCGTTCAAAGATCCTATAAATAACAAAATCGACAAACTTCTATCAGAAGCAACCGTTTTAAGTAATTATATAATTATGATACTTATTAATTTATAATGAAAACTTTTTTCAAGACCTCATGTTGTCATTTGTTAGCACCTAGCCAATAGACATTCATCATGTCAAAATCAAAAAGATTTTCTATAGTTGTATTTGCATGAATCGAATGACTCCATATTCGTATTCGTTTGAATAATAAATTACAAGTCACATGTTAAATACTTAAAAATTTTGAAATAGATACTAATAATTTCGAATTATAAATAATTTGATCGAATAATGAAAATACTATTATTTTGATGAATATTTTTTTTTACAATCAAATCATATAATGTTTGTATTCGTAAAAAATCTAAAAACCAATAATTATTAGGTATAAGATAATAGTACCGATTGATTAGTTTCAATATTGGCATGGTCAGGAAAGTTAAAAAGAATGTATAAATTGGATCCATTAAGTATGTCGTGTATCATTTGGAGAGATTTTCATAGAAGAGAGTATGAAATTATTTGACAGATTATATGATAATAATGAGTGATGCACAAATGCAACTTCCAATTTATATATATTTTTTTAAACTTCTTGCTAATATTGGAATTAATTCATAATTACTTTATTTACTTCTACTTTCTCTCTTTTCTGCCTGACTTAGAAAGATACCATCACCCTTCTACAATTCAAAGGACTTAGATAGTAGGAGAAATTAAGCTAATGGAAGGGCTCATGTTTTGGAATTGTCTTTCCAATGATACATCATATTTAAAATTTAATAAATACATTTATTTGATGATAGCTCGAACAATATCCAGCGAACCATCCCCATTTAAACAAGGATCCTGTCTTGATTTCCTTAAATCAGATAAGATGAGTCCAACAAATTTTGAATCAAAACAAAATATTAGTCATACATCATCTATTAGTGAAATCACGAAAGTTACTGAAGCACCTTTCATATTCAATAATGACAATTTAGGTATTCATATTATAAAAATACTGTTTTAAATTCAATAACTAAATTATTTGTAATACTTAATCTGCGTTATCAATATTAATTATATTTTTTTACACCTTTAAGCAGATTTTTAGGTTTTTATTCTCAAAATTTATATAAAAAAATATAATAATTATTATTTTAGATAAATGGATGTGTTTATCCTGTTGGGTCAAAAACTTACCTTCATCTTTGAAGTGTATATGTTGTGGGACTGCCAACGCCAGTCCTAAGGCTAATCGATCTTTTAATAAAGTTATTTTTATACTGCATTCCATAAACTAACCAAACCCAAGTATCTTTAATACCCCTATATTTTTATTTCTTAATGAAATAATCATAAAATATTAATAAACAAAATTACGGATGTTATTCTTTAAGAAGGAACTAATTAAATTTTGATTATTTGTCAGGTTTTTTGAATTTTTCTCTTTATACCTATAGCACCTGATCTTTGTCTTTAATATCTGATTTTTCACAATGTGTCACTTATTTTGAATGAGATTGGTGTCTGGGCTCGATATCAAGATAAAATATATATATTATTATCATTTAACCATTAGAAAATAATGATGAGGAGGGTACTACTGGGATATTGTTAGAATTTACATATATTTTTCACTCCTAAATAATCTGACCTATAAAAGAATGCTCACCTAATCTTTTTGCTGCCATGTATCCTCATATATATAATCGAAGGTATTAGGAAAATTTTTAAATTTTCTTAACCTATATCTTAAAACATAATTTATCACTAAAAATAACTTGATCGGTTTATATTTAATATCTATGAGCAGGGGGATTATTGAAATTTATCTTTTTTTGATTTAAAACTAACACTTGCATCTCTTTAGCTTAATTAGAGAATGTAATTTACTTCGACAGTCAGAAATCGATTTTTAAAGAGTATTTTTACAATACTCTTCTTATTTACTTGCTTTTCTTATGGATTTTTTTTATTTTAGTTTTGAATATTCTATTGATAATAATATTTCTTACGATATTTCTGATTAAGTTTAAATTCAATGCAATTTTTCCCATTGACTTTTCTTTTCTCATAACAAATTAAGAACAATACCACAAAAATTTGTAACAAATTAAGAACAATATCACAAAAATTTGAAGATCGTTATAATTAAACAAAATTAACGATATTTTTAAATAAAAATATTATAAAATATCCTAATTAAACAGGCTGTAAATTATTTAATATATTGCGATTTAATTAATAAAAATAATTGATCAGATATTTGGTCTTAATATACTCCACGTTATGGATGGAACTAGGGCTGTGCCGATATTTTTGCCTAGATTAAAATAACATATTTATAAATGTGTATATCTTAGAATTGGCAGCTAATTTTTTATTCATGAACATATTGGAATATACATATAACATAAAGGCCGATAAAGAATTTGTTTTGGATCGGATCGGCAAAAAATTATTAAAAACCGATCCCCAACATGGGCTCATTCCATTTGCCGTTGACTTTTCTTAAAATATATTTGTTTGATAAATTATTTTAAAGTTTTATTAACATTCCAAGATAGTTATGCATTAAAAATTTACTGCATATCTTGTAGTAATTTCGATGCAATTTATAAGCATAATATTTTAATATCTGCACAGCCCTAGATGGAACTTGTGAGAAAGGTAGCACTGAGAAATTTTAATATTTTCAGTTTAATTGATAAAAGTTTTTAATTATTTTTTAGTTAATATATTTATAAAAAATAAAATATAGTCGGATGGCAAAGTTACTTGGGTTATGTTAGTTATTTAAAGATTTAATTCATGATGGATTATATTATATTTTAGATATTTTAATTATTTACTTTTTTTTATTAGTAGTATGGAAAAGTCTTGATTTTTTTTATTAGATATGCAATTTTTATAAATAATTTTTGTTTTTTTATAAATGAAAATCTAAAGCTTGATACACAAGATTCTGCAAACGTAGAAAAAGTGCCTAAGCCAGAGGAAATTTCCAAAGTTGACACATTTAGCAAAAAACTAGACTTACGGAATACTACTTGTTCCATATGCTCACACAAAAATAAACCATTTTCTAATTTATGCGATATGTGTCAGACTCCTCTTTTTGCAATTAAAGGTTTATTATTGTTTTTTTGCAGGTGTAAACAAAGTAACCCTGTTTGTGATTCAATTTTTAAACAATTAGAAAAGGGTAAATATTAAATTGTAACTTACTTCTTGGTAGCATGTATAATTTTTTTTAACAAAATTTTTCAAAAGTTTTATAAATATAATATATTTACTTTTTCCCAAATTCATGAGATAGAAATTTACAATTTTTATAAACGCTCAGATACCTCTTATAATTATCTAATTATAAGATTTTAAAATCTATCAATACCAACCTTTAGAGCCATTATCCTGTACAACTTCTAAAGTTTCGTTGCCACCTTTGACCATAATCACTCCTCTGACAATCTCCCTAAAGCCGTCTACCTCGGCAATAACGAGTCAAATAATAGTTTTTCCGAGCATCGCCGCCACTAACAAATTAATTGATACCAACCAAAATAAGCCATTGTTTTCATCTTTGCCAACTACCGTCACTTTTGCGTCCACTTTCGACAGCCATGACCATCCATCACCGGTCTCCACTGTATCATTCAAATTTGGTGTTGGAGAAGGTTATACTTATTTTTAAATATGTTAAAAATGTTTTCGTGAGTTCAGGAGCAGGGTTGCCAGGTCAAAATTTTCAAATTGTGGCAGAAATTCGGTATTTTGTGCGAGTAATATAAAAATTGTGGGAGAAATATGAAAATTGCTACAAAAAAAATTTTGCGGGCCATTTTTCAAAATAAAATAGCCAACTATTTAAAATAAAATAGCCAACTATTTTTCAAAATAAAATAGCCAACTATTTTTCAAAAAAATAGCCAACTATTTTTCAAAATAAAATATTCAACTCTTTTTCAAAATAAAATAGGTAACTATTTTCCAAAATAAAATACGCAACTATTTTTCAAAATAGGTAATTATAGTACGACACAAAATTTCTTAAATACTATCTTTATTATTAAAATAACATATTGATTTATTATACTATATTAATTTTGTTTTAAAATAATAACCAACGATCTTTTTTAAATACAAAAGAATGTAAACAAGATAAAATTTTATAAAAAAATTGTAATTTTACAATCTAAAAAAATATATTTTATGCTAATGTATAAATAAGATTTTATAAAAAAACAAACAATTTTAAATTTACAATGTAAAAAATATTAATAATCAGTGCGGGAAAGTTGTTCTACAGTATTTAGTTAATACAATGGGGGAAGGGAATATGATATTTTGAGGCTTCAAAAATCTTCAAAGCATAAATCAGTACAGGGCAGTCTATCAACATCCAAAACAAAAATATTCTTCAAAAATAAGAAATAAAACAGATGCAACTACAGTATACCTATCAAGCAGTACAACATTCAGAGAGCTACTTAACATCACAATGTTGGTAGAATCTTTCCCCATAATATTTAACGACTAATATAAATGAAAAGTATACTTTGTAGAACACAAATGAGCAAGGCTATCATCAATGTTTTAGGATATAAATCCAGAAGGTCAATGACGATTTGAAAGATGTGCAAACATATGCAATTCTAACAGATGCATCTAATAAGGAGATATCAAAACATTTCCCTTGATCGTCCCCTATTTCAACAAAATTAATGTCATTTCAATAAAACTATTAAAATTTTTTTTAGCTAACCATATATAATGGTAAATATGGCAGATTTGGCATTACCAATGAATTGCATGGCAGCTTTCTGATCTGATAATTCCTCAGTGAATTTGGCAAAAACCAGAGTGTATTTACAGAATTGAGTCAGCATAATGTTGGTTGACAGGTTCCTCCTAATACGTGCCATCGTAGAATTTTAAAATTTTACAAACCTTTAAAAAATAATAGATTTTAGGAATTTTACATATAGGAAATCTACTATATGCTGTTAATATGCAGTTGCAATCAGAAGAATATAATTTAATAAAGGTTCACTAAATTATGCTGCAGAAATACCAAAGTAAGAATATTATTACTATTATCAGATAATTATTAATAAGATTTAATATGATGTCATGTTTGAGGAGATTGTAATGCTTCTTTATTTTTATGATTTGCCAAAATATTAATTTTACAATGTAAAAAATAAATATGTTTGATTTTATGCAAATGTATAAATAAGATTTTATAAAATATAGAAAGTCAAATAGTTATAGTTAATTATATTTTATTTGAGATATAAATATTGGAACTAAACGTTTATGTCGTTATTAAGATATTTATAAAATTAATGGCATGACATTTTATAATTTTGTTTAACCATTAACTCGGCTTCTAATGTTGTTAAAGCAATTCGATTTCTCTCCTTTCTCCAGGCAATCCTCATCAGGCTAAAATGCTCTCCGATGAGGCATTAGAATGAGGTAAGGAAAAAACATATCGCAAATTTTTTTCAAGCATGGGGATTTATCGTTATTACGAAAAAATTCCACCCATTTCTCCTCTGCTTTTAGACCATCTAACTTTAAGTATTCTGGCGAATCATAAAAAATGGAAAAAATTACAATCTCTTCAAACAAGGCTTCAATGTCTATCGGTAATTTTAATATATTTATTAAATTACAAAAACCATCAAATGATGGTTTCTGTTCCAAGGTCATAATATTTATACACTTGTAAATAGAGTTTTTAAAATCAAATCTTGATTGTAAATATTCCAAAATTGCCTTAATAAAAATATTTTCTTCATTTAAAAATACGTTAATTATAGTAATATTTGAACATTTTAATATGATATTTTTAGCAATAGCGCCATAAAATTTATTATCTATTTTTAACTGTAGAGATGAACAGAGCTGTAGCATGATTTTGTGAACCTTTATCAATAAAGAATCTTCTGATTGCAACTGAATATTAACTACATGAAGTAGATTTCCTACATGTGAAACTAATCCCAAATATGCTTCTGACATTTCATCCTCGAAAAAATTTTTCAAAATTTTAGGACAGCCTTTAAAATCTTTATTTAAGAAGTATTTCTTTAAGGGTTCGTAAAATTTTAAAATTCTCTCGATGGCAGGTATTAATGATAACCACCTGATAGGTACATATCGCAACAACTCACACCATTCCAAATCAGATCACTCCACCAATTCTTTTAATTCAGTGACTCTTTTAGTTGATGAACTAAATTCGTTAAAACATTTCATCACAATTACTTCGACATCTACAGTACATTCATTGTCTTCTTGCAAGAATTATGCAGTATATGGCATGTACAAAATTGATTTAAATCGAAATTTTGTAAATTTAAAATAAAGTAAAAAATTATTTAAAAAGTATGCCCTGGGAATATATTCTTGCAAAGTTATATTAAATATCTATTAATTTGGCCAGAACAGCCATTTGAAATCATTTATTCTGAAAATTTTTTCAATGTTTAGTGCTTAATATATTATTTTAATTTTACAGTTAGATAAAATTATTAGCAAAATAGAACATTTTATTATTTAAATCTGTTTGGTATATAGGATATAATATCCACTTCTAAAAGTTCTATTCTTCTAACTCAAAAATTTTGAAAATGTCGAGTGGAGCACTGCAATTCTAAATAACGATATAAAATATATTAAGTAATTTAAAATATATTTATAATAATTATACATACTGTTCTAACTTCTATTCTTTCTAACACAAAAATTTTGAAAATGTCGAGTGGAGAATTGGAGAATTTTATAAAAAATATATTTTAGAGAGGAAAAATAAAATAAAAGAACTAGACATATTTTTCGAATAAATATTTAAAATTTATTTTAAAAATATAAAAATAATCAAATACTGTCTCTCAAAATTATTATTTATATATTAAAAACATTAAAATGCTAAAAAAAAAAATTGTGGGAGAAATTAAAAAATTGTGGGAGATTTCTAATTGTGGGAGTTTTGTGGGAGTGAGATGTATGTGGGTAAACTAAAAAATTGTGGGAGACTCCCACTGATGAGGGGAGACATGGCAACCCTGTTCAGGAGTGATATTGTTAATTTTTTAAAAAAATTGACACCTCAGACCACATATATAATCTAGGTTTGGAATTGGATACTATTCATTAATAAACAATGAGTGAGGTTTTATGATAAATATTCATTTTTATGGACAGTGAATATTATTCATAATGGCAGTGTCAATGAAACGATATCCAAACCCTGAATATGTTATAATTTTATAATCTATTAGTTATGCTTCTAGTAATTAATTAGGGATTTATAATTATTTATTCTCAATCGTTTGAATGATAATAAATTTTAAATTAATTAGACATTACTATGAAGTCGAATGTTCCCTCTACATCTTCTTTCGCGTCTTTATCTAGTCAATACACCATACCACGTTCAAATATTCAAAACAATATTCCTAGTATAACATGTAAGTACTTTAATTTTTATTATTAATATGAATGTGATTTTAATAAATACCATTAAAATGATAAGGAACTATATTATTTATTACAAAAAACATTTTGAGGGTTTTAAGTGGTGGATCAGGGATCTAATTCAATTTTCGCAAAAAGTGGAGTTAGAACTTTAATGGTTAGGCGACTACAAGGGCAATATTTTAAAGACTTTTAGCACATGACAATTAATATTCATTTTAATTTTAAAAAAGCTAAAAGTTTGGCAACTTCACCTACCTCGTTTATATCGCCTTTCACTTTTGGGAAAGTATCTTCTTCTGTTCCTATTACTTCTTTCTCGATCGGGTTCGAGCCCACAATTCAACAATCCTCGAGTCTTAATTTCCCTATAATTCAAAACAAAACCTCCGATATATCTGCAGTGCTAACGTTTTCCACTAATTCTTTACCTCCTCCTCAGGCTTCAACCTTTTTAAACGTTTCACCTGCCTTTGCTATTACTATATTATCAGCGAGTCCTATAATTCCGTCGACATTTGTTGGATCACCTATGAACTTGAGTAATGCAATTATAACTTACTTATAAAAATGATTCAATTTTTTGATATAAAATATGATGAATGGATATTATAATATCTACGTTAAGTGGTTGTTAAATTGTTAACAGAAAATTATGTTATAAGGAATCTATCTAATATTTGATTTGACCAAGTTTAATCAGATTCTGTTTCAAATTATTTGGTGCATTATAACATTTTTGAAAAGTTCAACCCATATATTAATATTAGTTTATTCAGTTTGTTATACTTTTTTTAAAAATTATATTACATATATAGTCCATTTTACTTACATTTATTTTTAAACTTTACCTGCCGACTTAATAAAAGATTCTTTGAATCTAAAACTTTTTCGGTTTCAGAAATATCATACAAAATATATACTTTTATTAACATATTTTATCAAAATAATGAAAAATTTCTCATCAAAGTAAAAGCGAATTACTGATTCATCCCTCATAAAAAAGCAAATTTCTGATGCTCCCACTATCAAATAAAGGAGAAATTTCTCTGAACCCGTCTATCTTGTTGAACTCTCAATATTTATATATTACACATTTCCATATTTTTTAATTTATTTGAAAATAAAATTATTTCTGAATAACGAATGATAGAATTATCTTTATAAAATTTTAATCTCCTTATTTTGCATGGTAAGAAAAATGTTACATAAAAAAAACTAGCATATAATATAAACTTTATTTTTAAAGATAATTATTATAACTATTCATAAATTTTTCAATTTTCTTATAATCATATACGTAAGAATACTTTTCGTTCCTCCTCAGTTCTTCAAGAATTTATTAGTATACTTATCAATGATAAATATTCAAGTTTTTTCTTTGATTATTTTCCTTTTAAATTCACATGAATAATATATTTATTTTACAAAAACGTTAAGCTCTTTTTTTTATAATAAATATCAATAATAATCATCATTTTTTGATAAGGCTACATTATTGATATATATTTTATGAGATTTTGAATTCAATATATATATGCACAGAACAAATACTATTTTCGATGATTTCTTTATTTAAAGATCCTTTTATCAGTAATCAAATTTTTAGAAATTCTTGATAAAACCGGAAAGGGTCATGTTCGATCAGTTTGAGGTTTAGTCAAATATAAATTAACCTTAGCTTTGAACTGTGTTACAAGATCATTTACCTTCTAAATGCGTAAGAAATAGTTTGATGATATATTTCAAAAGAAAAGACTATTTCAATTCTAATTTAAATTCTCATTTTTTTATCGATAAAAATTGGCAAATTTTAGAATAATATTAGTTTACAATTAATATTTAAAAACTTCAATATTTTAACAAAATGAAACACTTTTTTTCGAAACCAAATAATTTTCTTACCAATAAAAATTACTTTGAAATGATGACACCATCAAAACATTATGATTAGGTTGTTTTTATTATATATTTAAAAATATGATGTTTTTGTGAATATATTGTAATAACAATTTTATCCTTTTTTATTTTTCGTATAAACGAATCCAATGCGGTTTGAATTACGATTCGAATATTCGTTTTTGAGGTTTATTTTAAACATCCTATGATAGGGTTCATATGCGATATCATCATTGACTTAAACTAACCCTGCATCGAACCTATTTTTTATTTTGGATTCTATCCCGATTTGAGAATTTGAACTAATTAAATCCGAATTATAAACCTCACCCCATTTATGGTCCGATTTTTAAGAAATATTTATGATTTAATGAATGAATCTAATTAAACAAATAGAATTCTAAAATCGATTTATAAAAAATAGAAGAATAATTTAAATGTTAGATCTGTCAGGAACTCATACATGTTTAGACTTGGACAGGGTTGAGTTTTTTTAAACAAAAATCCCATCATATAATGACTCGTATATAATTTTAAAGCCAACTCTTCGTATGAAGAAAACCTAAATGATTCCAGCAAGCTATTGGCCCTTCCTCATTACGGTTTAACTTCTAATAATATATCTTTCCCTGTCATCAAAAGCAGACCTTCTATTGAAACAGTTTACACGAAGCCTAGTATTTTTAGCTCATTCAATTTTCAACAAACCAGTACGTCTCTACCCTTCGGAATATCTACCAGTCAGACTCCGATTTCCGCGGCTACCGTTAATACTATATTTCCCACCTTTTCGTTCCTTACAACATCTGGTATATGCTAATTTTACATAATATACTATTTGAGATTAGACCTATATTCAAGAATGAATACGAATCGAATAGTGCTTTATTCATATTCGAATAAAATGAATAATTTTATATTTTTGAATAGGCATAACCATAACTAACTTGCTTTGTTTTGCTATAAAATATTTTGATTGACTTAAGTTTACATTTATTTAAAACTATAATTTACTTTTATGATTCGACTAAAATTTTTTATTTATTTTTGAAATAAAAAGCTCCCATCAATATTTCTACTACGCCATCCAGTAATTTAGTCCAGAATAGCTCATCATTTGCAGGATTTTCCTTCCCTTCAAAGCCTCTATTAGCTGATTCTACCCTTACCTTTCCTGTTGCATTTACCAGCAATAATATCGTTACCAGTACTAACAAAAGGGCCAATGAAGATAGCGATGATAGTAAACCTAAAAAAACGTTAGATTTTTCATATGGCGTTCAGCCATCCTTATCTCAAACCACTACCTTTGGCAGTCAACCTACCTCATTCTTATCCCAGTCCGCAAATGGATTTACATTTGGTAATTTTAAACCCTCTGTTTCTTCGATGTTTAAAACTCCAGCACCTACAAATCAGATACCAGGTTATTAAGAATTAATTCAGTCATACTTTAAAAAAGAGTTACGCACAGTTACCCCCACCCATAAAGGTAATGCGTTAGCGGCTTTCACTAAGATTTGATATATATTTTTCTAAGTTTCGCTCACAGCTCATTTATTAACTTTCATCTGTGTAAAAATAATCGTAATCATAATTATACATTTTTAATTCATAGAATTCAAAACGTGTAAGACTGAGAGGGCGACAATTAATTTCTCATTGTTTTATATTGTATTAAAAAAACATTGCTTAATTAGGCGGAAGTGGTTTTAACTTTACACCAAGCTTTAACTTTGGAGCTGCCCAGACCAATCCTACAATTCCGATGAATAGTTTTGGCGATACAATATCATCCGCCTCTCAACTATTTTCTTTCAATACTAACGATCAAAATAAACCCGCGAGCAACATATTATCTAGTGGTCCTGGCATATTCTCCTTCGGGGCTACTAATCAAGTTTTATCATGATTAAATTAACTTTGCTTTATCATATAATGTAGAAAAGATTATTCATTCTTGACTTTAAATTTCTTTTTTTTTATGGTATTTCATTCAGACACACTAAAGTTAAATTTTTGCTTATTCAAACATGGAATAGAATATAAATATGATACATTTTAGGTAAAACAATTATCATCGAATACCCCCTCCATTAATTTCGGGCAATCCCTATCAACGAATCAAATAAACATTGCTCCTCCTCTTCCTATATCTTTTAGCAATACGGTACCTTCAGTGTTTAATTTCTCTGCTCAACCTTCTTCGGATACGAATCCACTTAACATTATGTCTGGGGGCTTTGCATTAGGGTTTATTTTATAATGATAAATATTTGTCTAATTTTTCAAGTCTTATAAAAAATAGCTTTTAATGAGTTTTTTAAAGTTAGATAATAAATATTACTATATTCTTATGAATGAACTTTATTAAATATTATTACTGCTGTAAATTAACATCTATGAAAATAAGGGTCTTACTTTTTTTGAGTAGAAAATATTTTATTATTATTTTTTAAAATTTTATAAATAAAAGTCGAGTTTTTAATTCAGATCAACCACCATTTTTTTTAAAAAATATTTTTGTTGAATTGAATTTTATATAGTCAAAATTGTTAATCTAATTAATATTGAATCAATCAAGGTATGTTAATATTACTTATTTCTATAGATGAAGATAATTTAAATATGCCCTGGCCCTAGTATGTAACTTTTACACCACTAAAGAAGGCACCAGGTCTACACTTTGTAAATGTATATTGTGTCATTCAATATTTCAACCTTGAGAAAAGATCTTGACAAATACAAAGGAAAATTAGACTTGGTTTCTTCAAATGACGCACATACCAAATTCACTTCTGATAACGATTTTAAAACAAATTGATAAGAATCTGAATGAAGATACTTGTGATGATATAATAAATTTTTTTGAAAATAATGAACATTCTTAAGATATTTTTAAAAAATTCCCTTTTTATTTTAAAATAAATAAAAAAAATTGTAACAAAAAGATCTTATATCTATGGGGGAAAAATATATAAAAAGAAAATTTATATAAATATTTAGTATTTTTTAAGTAACGAGTAGCGAGCGCTACCTTTTTTGAATAGCGAGTAACGCACTACTTTTTCACAAAGTACCGAGTAACGGTAATGCGTTCCTTCTTTATAAACATAACGAGAAATTGTAATGCTTACAGCACTCGATATTATTTATCAACTTCTATTTTTTATTGTCAATTAAATGTTATCTTATATTATTTATTATCAGATACAAATACATTTTATTATATATATAGTACTACTGCTCAAACAGGTCAAAGACGCATCAAAAAACCAATAAGACGATTACGTTAAAGGATTATAAAACATAAATATGAATTGATCCCGAAGAGTGGAATTGGCTCAAAATATATTTATGTTGATAAATTGATGATTTTATATATATATATATATATCGAATTATTAGTTTAAAGTTACTCGTTTAACACTGTAATTTTAGAATACAACAAATGTAAAATATTATCATAACATTTACGCTTAATTATAATCGACAAATTCATCATAAATATAATCTTTCTTTGTTATTTTTATCTTTTGCAGCCCACTTTTTTTAGACATTTTTTTCTCTCCCCCTAATATTTACAATCAATTATTTTAATTTGTTACAAATTTTTGGTGATACAATATCTATAAATTTAATAAAGAGATAATTTTCATTAGTAATCATTTTATTAAGAAATTTTTAGGCCTAGACCCTAGTTTGAAGTATTTTGCCGACTACTTTGTATTGAATTTATTCTGTCATCTTCAGTAATTTTGTAAATAGCTTCGAAGAAAAATTGAAAGTATGTTTTCCAAAATGGTTAAATTAACGTAATTTATTTTATTTTTTTTAAAAAAAAATCTGTCATCTGATTTTCCTTTATTATAAAACTTTTTTAGTGCCGTGTATTTTAAAGATTCTACCGTTAAGGGCCTGGTATTAGGGATTTCTGATTTTCAGCTGAGAGTTATAGTTAATTTTGCATTTTTTATCGACTTCGACGCCCTTTATAAGATGGCATAATTGAATGTTGATACCCTACTTAGGTAAAGTAAATCATATATAAGGTTATTTTGTTTGATTTGTACACTTAACTATATTGTATATTTCATTATTGATTTAATTTCCTATGATCCAATCCAAAAATAGTAAACATAAAAATTAATGTCTGATAAACCGGTGTTTATGCTGAATATATGCGTTGATTAGATATATACCAATCGTAGAAATTATACATATTAAAAAGAATAAAAATTTAATAAATTAGAAGCCATATTAATTTGACCTATCTATGCTTAATTGGCATGCTAGCTCATAGATGAGAGCCCAATAATTTTTAAGAAAGCCTAGGCGATCTATGATTCTCCTATTAGTATTTAAATATGCACAAATGAGGAAAGCTATTTAACTAGTTTCTATTTCTAGGCCTATTTTTCAATGATTTGATTGAATCGATATATTTTTTGTTTAAAATTCGAAAAAAAATTTTGTCAATATATTTTCGTATGCATTATTTTATTATATTTAAAACGAATATTTGGAATCGATTACAAATAAATTTTGTTATTTGCACTAATACGAATATTTGTATTCATTCTTGAATAATCCTAATAGCTTATAATTGGTCATTATTTTTGCTGATCAATATATGTTATGTATTTTATAAAAGTCTATTCTCCTTGTCCACTAATAATGAGAAATTAATTTTTAGTAAAAAAAATTTAAATTAAATTTATTATATAAATAAATGATAAAATGTCATCATAATTGAATAAAATAACAAATTAAAAAGGTTGATTGTTTTATAATTCCCGTAAAAAAAGGTAGGGATTATCTTCCAGCAAGTAACTACTCAAAAGTATTTAATTCGCTAATTCCTCAAAAATCCACTAAGAATTATAATTTATTGCAATTCAAATATATGTTAACGTCCATGTGTTTTTTCCAGCAATGTGTTATTTTTTCAACTTTAAATAATTTTTTAAGCACGTTTTTAAAAATTTAAACATCTGATTTTACCGGAAATATATTCCAAAATAACACATTGTCCGAAAAAACATATTGATGCTAACATATAATATTTTATATTAAGTGGAAAATAATTTGTTTGACAGGTAAGTACGAGTTAATTAAAACAATAAGTCTAGTATGAATGAGAGTGAGAATAATAGATCATGCCTGATTAATAGTGGTGATATGACCGATTAATACTAACCTTTAAATTGTTTTTTTGTGTTTATATAAATTGATTTTTTTTATAAATTGTGAAAATTGATTTTTTTATATAAATTATTATATTAATATGTAAATTGATTTTTTGTTTGTAACATGCTATATAAGCATACATTTTTAGTTTTAAAAATTTTAAAATAAATTAAACTCGTAACATTCATTTATTCTTAGATAACTTTATGGTGGCAGTTCCGCTACATATTCGAAGAAATCGTAAATAAATAAATATGAAACAGATTCCCAATAATAATGTTAATATAAATATTGAATTTCCAATATACTCAAGCAAAGGCGATCTTTTTTTGAGTAGATTCGAAGACATCTTCAAGGACACTCAGATCTCGGACATCGAAAAAGCAGGTTCCTTTACAAGAAGATTACCAGATGAGGTATATATCAAGTTCAAATCGATATGTTCACCTACTGACTTCATCAATCCATCGATATTGATTGAAAAATTCAGGTTATTACACCCGAGGAAATCTACAAGTTCCAACTTATTATTATTTAACGCAGCTGTACAAGGTAAAAAAGAAAGTTACATCAATTGGGTATGTAGATTATGCATTTTAAAAAATGAATGTTTGCTAAGTGATAGTAGAGTTATTGAAAAAGTAAGAATTTCATCAATCAGCAAAAATATTAGTCAGAAAATTACGTTAAAAGAAAACATTACATTAGCAGAAGTCCTTACTTTAAGAGATGATTTTGAAGAGTTAGAATTGAAAGAAAATATAATTGCTAAAGTTGAAAATATTTCTTTAAACCAAAAAACAGAAGATGATACAACCGTGAAACATGTAGAAAGGCAAAGAGGCAGGAAAACAGAAGAAAATAAACAATTGGTGAGATATGGAGACCATGACGAATGAGAAAATTTACAATCTAATTACGATAACAGACAACGATGAACAACAAGAGGCCATGACTTTCAAAGAAATAATTATCAAGGAAATAATTATAACCCCAGATATCAAGGAAATAATTACAACCCTAGATATCAGAATTATAACGCGAATTATTACAACAACGTCAGAGCAAACTATCCAGGATCGTACAATAATTCTTCGAGATTTGATAATAGAGCTAGTTATAATAACAATAACTATAATAATTATAGGTTTAATAATGATTATAATTACAGATATAACAGATATTATAACGATTAAAGATTTATTCAAAGACATAACGATAATCATAATATTGGAAATCAAGGAAGAAATCAAGTATGCAATTGTAAATATCATAACAACGATAATAATCAATCACGATATACAAATAAAGGAAACGCTGTAAATATAGAAGAGATAAAAGAAGATGATAATGATAAACTAGAAAGAAAAGAATGTAATCTATACAATTTAGACATAAACAATATGGATACCGAAACCGATAATAATTACACAGCCAACGATGCATATAAGGTTACAGTATATTTAAACGACATGCCTATTTTGATGCAGATTGATACCGGCTCAAGGTATAGTATCCTACCGATTCATATCGCGAAAAGGATTGGAGTAAAAATCTTAAATAAATCAGATATTAACTGGATATGATGGAAACACAATAAATGTATTTGGAACTACCAAAGTCAAGGCAAAATTCGAGGACAAAAGTCAAATCTTAACTGCTTATGTAGTCCAGAGTGATAAGATTGAACTGTTAGGAAGGACCTGGATAACAGCTTTTGGGAATATATTAGATAAATTTGTGAATATGGTTGAGGATGATTATGATAATACTATACAAGAATTAATTAAGCAATGCAATTTTAAACTTAACAAAAAACCAATGCTTCGCAGCTATGTCAAATTAGAATCCCGGAAAAAAACCCCTGGAAAAAAACCCCCGGAAAATAAACCCCCAGGAAAATAAACCCCCAGGAATTTTTTTTCATTTTTATAAAATTTAGTTAAGATCTAATAATAAAGGTATATTTTTATTTGACCTACTCTCCATAAAAAAATGCTTAAATAAGAAAAACTGATGTTTAAAATGGTACTGGGAAAAAATGCATCAGTAAAATAACTATGTATTGTAAAAAAAATTTGCTATAGTAAAAATACAATACCATCTTTAAATATGATATTAAATAGGCTAAATTTGACAAAACTTAGAAATAAGAAATGTTTATTTTATTGGTAAATCATGATTATGTATATACAAATTTTATAATTTATAATAATAATTATATTGGTTGACATCGAATATTGAAGGATATCGCAATTATAAAATCTTAAGGCTTCGCACCCCATCACGGTATTCTTCGCAAAGTTTCTTTAGCCGAATCTGGTTGTTAGAACTCTGCGATTTTGTTTTCGATGTCCAACTACCTACGCGCCATCTTTCAAGTTTGGTTTCGTCGGCAGCCATCTCGCATTTCATTTTTTTAATGAGTAACCAGATTGATGGGTGTTTATTACCAACCAGATTAGAAAAACGATGATTCCAACCTGCGCATTGATTATTTGTTCTTTCTTCATCAGAGAGTACTCTGATTCACGTTCCAGGTTTCTGGAGGAAATCGAGGCTCAATTCGACGTGTTTGGGATTGAGAATTGCTTCTCATGACATTCCTTGATACTCCATTGACATAATTTTTATCGAAATAATCAAGAATGTCCTTACCATTGCTCGGAGTAACTGATCTCAGGAATGTCATTGCATTATCCATATCACATAACGGAACGAATGCTAAGCCGTCCATCATGCCACAAAAAAAACTTAGAGTTTCATCGATCCTGTATTCGCTTGACCCAGCTTCTAAATTTTTCTATGTGTACTTTGACACAAATGGTAAAAACATCCTCTAATTACGATGTGATCCCCTAATTGGGAAAATAAATATAAATTATTAAACATATTAATAATCATACCAATGAAACTCTTAACCGCGGTCAAAGCAGACTTTTCGAAATCCATGTATATATATAATGGATCAGGAAATAAATCCTTTTCTTGACATTTAGACATTATTGTTTGAAATATTATTTCATATGTACTTTGAGTTTTTTTCTGGAGTACACAATAAACCGCTGTAATAAAAATATTGTTTATTGCTACTCTAATCACATATAATTGTAGTAAATTTTTTGGGGACATGGCAAAATTACCATCCATATACCACTCTGTCCTATTAGATATTAGATGATTATCTGTTGCGAACATTATTATGCGTTCTTCAGCTTGTGGGCCATTATCAAATAATAAAAATCGTTTGAGTTCTGGGAGCCACAATTTGCCCAATCACCTATAATATTTAAATTTTCATGAAAATATAATTATACTTAAACTAATACCTTCAATAACTAGGTCTTCCAAATTCTCAAGATTT